TTTCCTGGTCTGGTGTCACTTTCCTGCTAAGCCATTCAGCAGACGCAATTACGAAAGGAAGACAAATGATTTCTTATCTAATTATTAGCTAGGAACATTTTAATTCTCACAAAATTCTTCAGAAACCCAAAGTAAAAACCTAGTAAACCCCTAGTAAAAAACCTAATCTCAAAATTCTCTTTCACAAATCATACACACACAAAAAGTAAATTCTGGTTAGGTCAACGTTTGGAGTTTAAACTTTATTCCTGCTGATAGGACCTTCCTTTTTTTTTTTTATATCCCTACCTCAGGCAGAGTGAATGTTTTTTTCTCAAAGAATAGCCTAGTAGCAGATTGCATTAAAATCACCCCGGGGTGCTTGTTACAATGCAGATTCCAGGATCCCACTTTAAACCTAAGGAATCAAAATCTCTAGTTATAAGGCCCAGTAAGCTGCATTTTTACAAGTGCCTCAGGTAATTTGCATGCCCCCTAAAGTGTATGAAGCACTGCCCTCAATATTAACCAAATCTTAAATTTCTGGCATGTCTATTATTTCTTCTCTTAAATAAGCCAAAGAAAGAATTATAAGCATCGAAAGTACAGGTCAAATCTTGTCATAGAGTATGTATTCTATGGTAACTCTGCTTATGAACATTTAGTAGCTTCTCTGTGGGACAGTTAAGCTGTAGTAATTACCTCATGGTTCTGTAATCTGTATGTCTCCTCCCACATGACATTTGTACCCACTAAGACTATGGTCTATTTTCAGGATGGAAGAACTACCAGGCCTTTGTGAACTGAGGCCTCTTCATGTTACATTTTCTTTTTCTTGATGATTTAAAGACACTTAGGAAATTTTTCACAAATCTTGAAGCTGAATTATAGAGTCTAAATTAAGGAGAATAACGTTTTACAAGGACTAAGTCCAAATCATTTTAATCATGGTCTCTTTATGGAAAAATTGCTTTTTAGATAAATTGGGAAGGATCTGGGATTAATAGCCCTTATCCCCAAACTGCCTCTGACTATGATTCCATGGGCAAATTATGCAATCTCTTTGCCATATTTTTGTAATAGGGATAATCACTCTATAATAAGAATAATACCCCCAAAGCTCCAAGAAGATTAATAAGATCAGGCTTGTAAAATGTTAAAGGTTGTTGAGTGAGGGAGCCTATAAAAAGTGTAAATTATTAGTATTCTTTTTATAGGTCTTTAATGAGTTATTGACATGTCAATGATGAACCTGCCTGTTGAAACATTCTGCTTCCTGTTTTTCAGTTACTGGAGTGACACGCCCTGCTTTTCAATTTCCCTGAAGTACTTTGGTCAAAAACCAAAAAAGGCAGCACTACCTTCCTCCCAAACACTCATGCACTCCTAGGACTACAGTGTCTGTATATTTACCTTGACTTTGTATTGACTAGGTTGATTGGATTCACTAAACCATGTGTCATCAAAGCCTCAAGTTCTTCGGGTTAGCTAAAGTATCAAAAAGTCCCCTAGCTTATTAGCAAGCAGTAAACCCAAATGTGAGAAGGTTAGATTAGAAATAAATTATTTCCTTGATGTCATTTTTGGTTGTGAAACCATCCTACCCATTTATAGTCCCAGTTTCTATTATGCAGACTGTAAATTTTTTGCTCACCCAAAAGTAAGACTTTTTGAGAATCTAACTAGAAACAAAACAAAACCAGCACATCGGCATATTACAATCCATTAACTCCTTTAGTAATTAGGAACCCCTAGGTGGCTCAAGAGAATGTTTGAAGATTCTAGTGTTTTCAATTTGCAGTGGGAGAAGGAATTTTTGAATATCACTGAGTTTACTGTTTGAATCTGAGTATCAGACATAGTGGCCTTATTTTCTAAAGTTTATTTCAGGGACAAAATATGTAACTTTTATGTAAAAGAAGAAAAAACTGAAGAAACAGCTAAAATCTATAATGTATGATAAACAGATAAAATGGATTGACAGATACAAAGAAAAGTAAGAGAGGAATGCATATTAAGTTTGGGGAGGCAGTTCCTCTTGCACTGTAGATCCACATGGAAAAAAAGTTTCTGGAACTGAGTAAATGACAAATCACTATTGAGAAGTTTCTTGCAGAGTTACATGAAAGAAAAATATTTATATCCATCTTGACAGTAGCTAAAAAGAGATCTGGGGATAGTTCAGTGTCTTGGGTTTGGTTGACTTAATTTCTTGAACAAATATGAGGATTAAACATTCACAAATGTTCCTAATATTTTGTGAACAAGGAAGTGAGATATTAGCACTATTTTTTCAGTCTTGTATCTATCATTACAGCGTCTGTCAGTTAGCCTTAACTTTAAGCCTTTTGGAAGAATCAATATATTCTGATTTGAGAGTTTCCTCCACATGGTAAAAATAAAATGTGAGCTTTCAGTAACTGGCATGAAAAAGTTTAGTAGTACCCAGGAAGTTTTCAGAAACTAGAGCTTTTACATAATATGGAAGTTTTAATGTTTTGAAGGTTCAGTAAATTATGTAGTGTACAAGAGTGAAGTCTAAATTACCCACTCAGAAGAGTAACCTTATAGCCCACATGTCTGGATCCATGTATGCAGATGGACAGATACACTTCATTTCTCCTGGGAAGTTAAGTTTTAAAAAGCTATCACTCAGAACAGACGGTTTTACGATTGCATGAAAAGAAAAGGAAAGATGACAGAGTTGCTATAAAAATGAAAGGCCTTTGGAGTATTAGCAGCTGAAAACATTACAGCTTCAATGAAGATGGGAAACAAAAATCAGCTTAAAACTGCAAATTAAAAAAAAAAAAAAACTTACCCAGAAGGTTTGAAGCATATGGACACCCACCCAGTTTGCAATGAGGGCAATGGGAGCCCCAGACTTGAGCTTATTAAAGATGACCTTTCCCCTCTCTAAAATTTCAAAGCTGACGTTTCAAGTGCTGAGCAGACTGTGTGCCATATGTAACATGACCTCAGCTCCACTCTGCCGGAGCACTGATGGCATCACTAATGAGAGGTGAAAGGTCCTTTTCTTGCAGCTTTTTCAGAAACCCACCAACTCTTGCCTGTGAAGTAAGGCCCCCCCCCATTCCTCCTCCCGCCTATTCCTCCTCCCGCCTTGATTTCAAGAGAGCTGCATTTAATACACAGCCTCAAAACACTTTTATTACCGGTCGATTTGCTTATAGCCACAGCCAAATGGCAGGATGTACAATCACATGCAGAAGAAAATATTTATTTTGACTCAGAAGGCAAAGGGATTAAGAGAACATTGTATTAACCTTGCCTTTCATCTATGTTTTAAAGGGAAATTCTCCAGAGGCATCCATTGAAGTTCTATTTTTTTTTTTTTAATAAAGAGTATCAAAGACTTTTAGGAGACCAGGTGTGTGTTTATCTGAGGGGAGGAGAGAAAGGGAAGAAACTATTAGCGGGGAAAGGCAGCTTTCTCAAAGGCGCTTCAGAGACTGCAAAGATATATGTGCAGCAATCTGTTACAGGCATTCCTACCAGCTAGCGACCCCCCCCCCCTTTTTTTTCTACTGCTTGGAAACAAAATAGCTTTTTTTTTCCTAAACAGGTTGTTATCATATTCATGGCATGGTCAATTTCCGTTTGCCAAGAAAATATTTAGGCTGATCAAAGAAATTACAAAATCGGATGAATAGAAACAGACGTTCCCACAAGAGAAGCGTTTCTCAATGTGAAGAGGCAGGCGGATTGAAGCCCACCCAGTCACTCCTAGGAAGTAACTCTCTTGCCAAAGGCGGAACTACAGGGCCACATGAATTCTGCTGAAAGGGCTATGGAAGAGCCACGACTCTCCAGGAAATTGACATGGAGACCAGAGCATGATACTCTCAGGTGGCAGACATGTAAGGAGATGATCGGTTCTAGTGTCTATGTACAAATCAGGAGGGCCTTTAACTATGTCCATTAATACAGAGGGACCTTTCAAGATAGAAGATGAGTGAGTTTGGGCTCCTTTTGTTTTGCTTTGCCTGGTTCATTATGAGCATGAAAAGAGAACACATTATCCTTTGTAGATGAAAGATGAGTATGGACTTTTCGAGAGGAGGGATAGCAGTTTCTTCCGAATTAATATAAATTCATTTTTAGATTTGTGAGTTTGGATGGGGAATGTTTGATAGTAGTTGTCTTCGGGGCCCTCTGGTCTCCGAGTGTCCGCTCCAAATGGTGACAGTAAATAAAGGAATCTTCTATCTCTTGGTCGTTCCTGGGCAAAGTGCCCCCGAACCAGGTGAGGCCACCTGCTTCGGCTCTGGGATGGGGCGGGGGAGGGGGGGAATCGCCTGCCGTCTCAGTTTCTTTCCGCAGTACTTACGAAACTGGGGGGGGGGGGGCAGAAAAGAAAAGAAAAGAAAGAAGGCTTCGCTCAGGGAAGGGGGATCCGTATTCCAACTCCCTCCCCTCCTCGCTCGCCTAAGGCAAATTGAGGCACTTCAGTCGCCCCGGAAGCGTCGCCAACCTTACTGCGACCGCGATACCTCCAATTCTCCGAGGGAGGGTTGGCCCTGAAGGACAGCTACTATTTGGAGAGCTAAGGGGGCCAAAGAAAGTCCCCTTCCTGCGAGTCCCGCCCGGGGCTACGCGGTGCTGGCAGGGCCGCGGTGAGCCAAACCGTTCCCGGGCTGTGGGCTGAGAATTCTCTCTGCCACCCTAGCCCCTCCCCGCCTTACGCCCCTCACCCTCGAGACTCGACCGGGCAGCTTTTCTCTTCTTTTTGTTTTGTTTTGTTTCGGTTCCTGTCGGTCATACTCTTTTGCCAGGCTGACAGCGCCCTCTCTCTCCTCCAGCCGCGTCCGCCGTGGGCCTGCGTCCTCTCCCTGCTCCGCTGACCTCCCCAGCCTCGTTCTCGCTCCCGCCCTCCCCGGGCCTGTCCCCTCCTCCCTCACGCCCCAATAACAGCACCAGCGAACAACCCGAGAGAGCGGCGGGGTCCGAAGACTGCTCAAGTCAGGACCCCTGGGTCGGAACGCCGGACCTCTGGCCGCATGGCTGGGCGGGGCCGTCCCCGGTGCAGTCCCGGCGCCGGAGCCTTCTCGCGCGCCCCCGGGGAGGGGTTCCTGGTGCAGACGACCGGGCGTGGGGTGAGGCCTGGCCGCCCCCGGCTGGGCAAAGCCTCCTAGGGGCGGGGCCGCGAGCAAGCGGCGCGGCTCGCTCTCTGCAGCCCTGGCGCGCTGCGAGTTGGACTGGCGCGCGCACCTGGCAGAGCAACTTACCACGGACTCCAAGATGGGCCCACGAAAGGAGGACCCGGCTTGCATGCGGGGTGATACGTGGGGGTGGCGGATGGACTTCAGGAGAGGCAAGGAAAACTCTTACGGCCTTGTTGCAGCCCCCAAAGCGCCCCTCGCGGTCCGCTGGCTGCCTTGAAACCTCACCCTGCCGGCTTCCAGGAGGGCTGCGCCAAGTACAGCAGCGGTATTGGAAACATTGTTGCAAAATCCATGCCCAGGCTGGTGGGCCAGACGCGCAGAGAGGCATGGGTGAGTGGGCACCTTCCCAGCACTCTCCACCCAGTGTCTGTCTTTCCCCACAGCTCAGAGGACTGGTGATTTAGACTAATGCCGTGAGGCGCAGTCGGGAGCGAGAAAAATCAAGCTTCTGTCCGTGAAAATCTGGATCCTTTAGAACCCAAACAATGTGCTTGTGTTGGATTGAAAAAACATTTCCCATAGCGTGGATTTGCCCCGACATAGATACAGGCCTGAAGTACTCCCCTCCTCAAACCCTTCTTGGCGCCCGGGAACTGCAAGGGGAGTTCGCCTCGAGCTGACCCGGCTGCAGAGCGCAGGCGGCTCCCAGAAATGCACTAATTGAGTCACAAACCACACGCCTCCCCTAACAAAGCGATCCTTCTCGACAGCTCAGCGCCCAATTTGTCCGAAGCACTTTCTTCCGCAATTCAGAAGCATTATCTTGTTTTTAAAAGTATCGCGGCAGAAACGTGGCAATTATCCTGGGCTCGGGTTACGCTAAATGGCGTTAGTCTGAGAAATGCAACAATACAAAAGCCGCGAACGTGCTGATCGCCTCGCTGCCGGGCCTGTACGAGGGGTAGGGGGAGTGAGCGAAAGACTGCAACCGGGGAGAGGGAGGGATGGCTCAAATTCCCAGTATAGGTGCTCTCTTCCGAAGGCACCTGCAGAAAGAAGTGTAGGACCCTCGTTCCTAAAGGTTAAGATTCTGGGCGATGGACCCTTAGAGGTCGGGAAAGGGCTCATATCCAAACAAGACCTGGCTGCTCTTGTGGTCCCGGCTTTGGGTCAGAAACAGGTAGGGAGCATCAGGCACTGCGGGGTAAGGAAGGGAAGAGAGGTCAAGGGTCAGCAAGGGAACTAGGGAAGAATCCAACTCCTATTCGGTGCCAACTACGCTAAAATGGGAAGGATGGGTGGCATGGGGAGAAAATAACCAGGAGGAAAGCGGAGCCGGCTCCGAAGAATGGGGAGACGCGTTCACTCCAGAGCGAGGGGTAGGCCTAGCCTAGGAGCCCTGGTGGCGCCGCAGGATAGGAACACGCAAGAACTGGAGAGGCCGAGAAACTAAGAGGCGTCTCCGCACGAGGGGGAAAAAATGCTCCAAGAATCTTCATTTCGGTCCGCCAGGGTGAGTTTGGGCCTGGAAAATGGAGGGGGCGGGGTGGAGAGTAAAGAGAGAGTAGCGAAAGGCTTTCGGGTGCGGGCGTCGGGCTTGCAGACGCCTTGCTCGCCCCAGCCTCGCAGCCCGCAGTAGTAGCCACGCTGTGCGCGTGTCTCTTTCTCCTTCTACTCGAACCAGCCCCCACATCTTGAAGTAATCAGCAGCAGAGAAGGGACTCGTCCCCCTGGCATCTCAGGTTAAAGAAGGAGGTCCAGGAAAATGTGGTAGAGCCATTACAAGAAACCCGAGCCGCAGTCATCAGGGACTCCAATTGCCATCGCATTAGGATTGATTAGAGACCAGCAGTACCGTAATGACCCGGAAAGAGGGGCAGACGGGGATTATTAATATCAGAATGTGGCAGGGTGGGGACGTGAGTGGAGGCAGGGAAGAGCAAAGTGGGGAGAGAGACGTTTTAAGTTACTAGGATTTATATGTAAGTGCAGGCTTACCTGAGGAAACTGGATAGTCAGTGAATCACGCAAACAATAAATCTAATTGCATCTAAAATTTCGCGAAGCCTGATTTTTTTTTTTGGAGGGGGGCGGGCAGTAAAACCATGGTGAAAACCAGGCTAACATCTTAGTTTTTATAAACACGCAGTTATATAAACTTATTGCAAGAATCCACGTGAAGAGATGGAGAGGGTTGCTGGGCGTCCACTTTCCTTACTAGCAGGCCTCTGAGAAAAGATTTTGGGAGTGCATTTTTTGGGTCACTTTGGGTCTTCACTCCAGGGCTATGGGACAATGGAATGGACGACTCTTTTTCACAGAGTCTGCAGAGGAGTAATAAACCAAATTGTAATCAAAGTAGTGATAACTGGGTAGTGGTTTTTGTTTTGTTTGAGAAACCAATGATCAGGATCCCTAAAAGAAGTAGAGAAGAGAGTGGTTTGTCTCCTTCCTCGGACTGTGAGCCAAAACAAATCAGCCCCTGATGGTCTGGGCTGAAACGCAGCTCACTGGATAATTAACTCCATCTTTCCAGTCCACCCTAACTGTTTATTTAGTGTCACCCTGCATTACTGTCACTAGCACTTTCCTCTGAACAGGAGGAGCTGCAGGCTTTCACCTCCCAAAAGGAAATTCTTCTTAGCTTAGACAGATGCGGTATTCAGGATGTACATTAGTTGAGAAAAAAGGTGATTGGAAACTCAATGGAAGATAAGGACTCTCCAAGAGTATCTTTTTGTAAACTTGCCCTAAGGCGACACTAATAAAGAGAAGGGGACAAGAGTGTCTTAAATTCTTAAAAATGGATTCTTAAAACACTCTCCTTCACTTTCCAGAAAGGTGTTCGGCATCTGGTGTTGAGTGGCATCTTCTGGCTCAGCCTGGCAGTCGGTGAGTCCCAGGGCCCGAGCCTCCTCAGAGCGCAGCTGCAGTCGGCTCTTTCCCCCCCAGGTGGCCAACCCATTTTCTTCCGCTCCCCAATGAGCCCCCATCTTTTGACAACGCCCCCACCTTTTGAGGACACCACCACTCGCCTGGCGGGGTCCCCTCGACAAAGCCCACGCCCCTGCCCAGGCTTCAGAGCCACCTCGGTTCCCGACATCAGCACGACGCCTATGAAACCTCGCAGTGCCTGGTCCCGGGCCGAAAGGAACAGGTTCAGGCGCCCATAGCCTGCGGAAGGGAAGAGAAGGGAGAGAAATAGAGATACAGAGGGAGGAAAGGGAGTGTGTATGTGTGTAGGGGGGTAACGCAGAGAGGGGAGAGATGGAGGAAGAGAGAGTTGGAAAGAGGGGAGAAACAATAAGAAGAATGAGACAGAGAGAGGGAGAAAAAGTGACATGGAGACAAGAGACTGAAAGAGAATAAAATGAGAAACAGAGGTTCACACGCAAAATGAACGAGCTTCCTCCTTCAGATAGGGAAGAGAGGATGAGAGAGAAAGAGACACCCAGACAGACAAAGCAAGACGTGAGTACACGCACCGAGGGAGAGGATAACTCCTCCAAATACACCCCCTCGGCTCCAGTCGCCTGCAATCTGCGTCCTCTCGGCGGTGTCTCTGTCCGTCTTTCACTCTCTCCCCCTTCCTCCACCCCGGGACAATGTGGAGACTGTATTTTCAGGAGCCACGCGGGGCGGCAGCGTTTTTAGCAGCTAGCGGGCTCGCAGCTCTGTTTGTCCAGGTGTGGGCTGGGGACAGCGGTCCCCGGCGTCTTGGGCTGGCGTTGAGTTTGTGCACCAAGGAAGAGGGAGGCTGCGCTCGCGCGCTTCCCGCTTCCCAGAGAAAACTCCCTCCCTCCCTCCATCCATACATAAATATATTAGGGGAACAGACAAATCTTCATTGTTCAGAAATCAGCCGAGGAGGCCGACAGGCTCCCCTCGGCCCGGCCTAGCGCGGCTGGAAGAGAGGGAGGTGGAGAGGCGGGGGCCGCGCGGATCCGGTGTCACGTTGCAGATTCCCACTAAAGATAACGAAACGTGATCTATTTTTCAGAACAGCAAGTGGATGGGAAAGAACCTTGACAACACAAAACTCATTTACTAATGGACTGGTTTTGAGTTTCTCTTCTCCGGGTCCGCAAATCGCCCTGCCTGAGCTCTCGGCCTATTCAGACCTCGCCGGGAGCAGGGTTCCCCAGGAGGCAGGTGGGCGGCTGCTCCCGCGGCGCCGCGCAGGTCGTCGGAGCCCGGGATACCTAGGGTCGAGGACACCCGGAGTTTCCGAGCCACCAGAGGAAAAAGATGAACGTTGCCACTTCAACCAGGATTTGGGGAGTCTCCGCACTGCCCCAGAGCGACGATGCTAATTTGTTGAAGAGACACCTCCCGATGTCCTTCCCTTCCAAATTATCAGTAGTTAAAGTAGGATCCCCGCTGTTCTCGGTGGCGAAGGAATTCCAAGAAAGCGGGCCTGAAAGCCTCTTGCTCCAAGCCAGAAAGGATAGAAGTGGGTTCTAGCCAGAGGTTTTTGAACCAAGGCCTCATGTCAACTCAGCCAGAAACGCCAGCAGCAACTAGTGCCTCCGCTTTGGCTTTTCCATAGACCAGTTGTGCGCACCGGGCCATTACCTGCATAGAGGAGGCACTTAAGAGCTGAAACCTGGCGTCGGGCAGCCTTTGCCAGCGCGTTACCCTCGGGAGCCAAGATGCGGAGAGGGCAGCAGCTAGAGTTGCACGTTCCCTTTAAATCTCCGACGCATCTCTGTTTTTCGTGTGATTTGCATTGACAGCAAGGGTTTTAAGTTACTAGAACAACTCAAACCTTTCTGTGTGCGATTTAAAATGGATCATTTGGTTTATGTGGTTTGTAAATTCATGTCATTTTACCTCTTTTAGTGGTTTTCAGTGAAAGGTTCCATTTTGGGAAACCTTATATATCCGAGCCAATAATTAACACTTATAACAATTGGTTCCCCTAACCAAGGGATCGAAATAGCAGGTAGGCTCGTTAGTACAAAGCGAATAGCACTTTTCCTTTCTAGTTACGCGGTCTATCGGGTTAAACGCAACGAGAAAGGCTGGCGGGCCCCCGGCAGGGCCTCTGAAGTTGAACACCACTTCTCAGCAACCCTTTTGCCCGCTGCAAGCACAGCATCCGGACGGTCTTCCCAGTTATCACCAAGGTCTAGTGCGTCCTGGCTTCTTTTGAGGAGAGATGAAAAGAAGTGGACAGGGAGGTCTGGAGCAAGCTGGGGAAAAGGTGGTCCTATTGCTGTTTAATCGCCATCTCTCCGTTCCCTGTCATCCCCTGTACATTTGTACCTGTCCTTATTTGTCCAAGCTATGCCTTATTTCCTTATACAAAATTGTTAATTATAAAATACACCCCGTACTCAACTTACTGTTTGTCTTTTAGGAGACCCTGCACCACACGTTGTAATTCTGCGCACTTGCTCTAGACTTTAGGGTATTAACTGAGTTTTAGAGCCAAGTTTAAACCTCCGTTCCGGTCTTCACACAGCTGCCATGTCAATGAGGGCTGTTCCAAGCAGAGACATTCCTTCTGGCAGGACACTGCAGCTTCTTAAGACTTCATCTGAAACATCATGAGTACTAAAATAAGACCGCAAGGGAAAATTACCAGACACATGGGCTTGGTCTCAGCCATGCCAGGCTTCCAGTTTAGAAAGTAAGTCATTGGGCACACCATGTGGTAGGGGCTCTTTTGAAATAATGTGCACCCATTAAATGCACTTAAAAAATAATTCTAAATGCAATGAAATATCAGCATCTGTTTCCAAGGTCTAATTGCATGGGATACTGCAGAGTTTCAAGGATGCAAAAAGCATTGTGTGGGAGTTCAGCGGAGAAGCAGCTTCCCTCTACTTGGAATCTCTGGAGAGGCAGCCAAGAGGTGGAAACCCTTTATGAGTTTAAAATGTACATTACAGGGTACACTGGACTGGGTACATTATTTTAAAACCATATAAATAATACAGGGGGGAACCCGCAGGACGCTGCTTCTTTTCCCACTTATGTCTCAATACGCAAAGGGTTTTATGGAGCTGGGCTTTGGCTGGTGGAATCCAAACATTTAAAGAAGACAAAAAGTTTAAAGAACCTAGAGCCTGTTCTTTGCATTCACTAAGAAGGTGCATTTAAATCAAAAGCATTTTTGAAGTGTACTTACAATTCTGTTTTTGAACTTATCTAATCAGAGATAAGAGTAGTCGTAAAGTCACCCTGCTCCCACCGTTTGGCTCCCCTTATCACCACGCATTGTTCTTATCTTCTGCCAGCCTCAGCTACTGACAATAGATTATCTTTGTTTAGAGACGCTAATTGTTTTCAAAATCTTTTTAGTAATTGCTTTGGAACAAGGTGTGCAAATGAGGCTTACGATAATTACAGCTTCACTTGTTTGTGCAGTTTTACTAAGCATTCTCCAAACATACATAAAATAACAGATGATGGGACTGAAATTGCAGGACATCTCATTCCCTGGCAGTAAAATAGGCCAGCATTGTAATCAACACACACACACACACACACACACACACACACACACACACCCTCTTATTTAATCTTCTTGGAGCCGCTGTCATCCTCGCTTTGAGGGAAGTGTCCCTCTTAGAGCAGGGCACGGATTATATTACAACCGGACAGCTATTGGAGCCGGACCAGTTTTATTTAATTTACACCCCATCCAGAGCCTTTAGTACGAGGTTCCCAAAGCATTTTTGCCAACAGCAAGTAAAGCTTCTGGGCATTCCACGGTAGCAGAGGTGGCCTTGGAAAACGCAACCACGCTGGTGGGGAAACTGAGTCCAGAGTCTGCAGACTTAGACCATAATTAAAATGCCAAATCACAAATTAATCCTCAGAATCTTTCTCTGCTTTGCAACTGTGCTCTAAACAGCTCTGCGCGTGGTCGCAAAGAGTCGCGGGCTTCTGACAATGAGAGAAGCGCTATCCAGCTGGGAGTACACGTGCCCTTTGGAGGGTGGTGGGTGTGGGGGGCGCGGGGGCGTGGGGTGTGGGGGCGGGGAGAAAGCAGAGAGGAAGAAATTAGGTTTGGCTCCTGGAGAAGAAGCCAGTCCGGAGAGAAGCCACTCTTCAGCGACTGCAGCTCTGAGCTCTCGTCTGCTCCTGTATTATTTATCTCGTTCCATAAGCTATTTATCAATTCATTATTTATTCATTCCAACATTAAGGTAATTAAATATGAGCTCACCGGGAAAGGGCATGTCTGCAAGAGACAGGGGTACGTAGGGAGAGGAGGGGAATTAGAAGGTCTGGAGTCATTGATTCGCGCAGAGATGTGCGCGGCTGCCCTTAGGTGACACTGGAGAGGGGGCTCACGTTGCAGGGTCCTGACGCGATCACCCACCCCACCCCCTCTCTCGCTCCTGGGCAGCGAGGCTCCATTCTCACCCCTACCCCCACCCCCCGCCCTCCACCTCGCTTCCCACCTCTCTCGGTCCTACTCCTCTCACCACTCCCAATCCCCCACTCCACAGCTTCGCCCTCCCCTCGCGGGGCGGTGCGGCCTCCCGGCCCGGCCCGGCGGCGCGCAGGCTGGCCAGCCCGGGATAGGCGCCGCCCGCAGCCAATCAGCGCGCCGAGGACGCTGCGCGCTTTAAGGCAGCAGCCGGGAGAACAGAAACCAAGTTCCCCGGCAACGAGCAGCATCCACCCGGTGCAAGCCTAGAGCCAGCGAGGCCCGAAAGGCTGAGGAGTGAGCCGGCCTCTCCTAGTCCTGCGCGCGCGCCCCACTTCTCATTCTGCTCTTTTTGGGCCGCCCATACTCAAAACTCGACTTACTTTTTCGGCTAGGGAAAGCTTAGGAAGGGGGTTAGGAGCAGCCGCACCCCCACTGCGGCCGCCGCCCCCTGCATTTTCGGCTCTTCTCTGTGCTGCTTGCGCCCGGGCATTGCGCCCCGGCAGGGCCCAGCCATGTCGATGCTGCCGTCGTTCGGCTTCACGCAGGAACAAGTGGCGTGCGTTTGCGAGGTTCTGCAGCAAGGTGGGAACCTGGAGCGCCTGGGCAGGTTCCTGTGGTCGCTGCCCGCCTGCGACCACCTGCACAAGAACGAGAGCGTGCTGAAGGCCAAGGCCGTGGTCGCCTTCCACCGCGGCAACTTCCGCGAGCTGTACAAGATCCTGGAGAGCCACCAGTTCTCGCCTCACAACCACCCCAAGCTGCAACAACTGTGGTTGAAGGCGCACTACGTGGAGGCCGAGAAGCTGCGCGGCCGGCCCCTGGGTGCTGTGGGCAAGTATCGGGTGCGCCGAAAATTCCCCCTGCCGCGCACCATCTGGGACGGCGAGGAGACAAGCTACTGCTTCAAGGAAAAGTCGCGGGGTGTGCTGCGGGAGTGGTACGCGCACAACCCCTACCCCTCGCCGCGTGAGAAGCGGGAGCTGGCCGAGGCCACTGGCCTCACCACCACCCAGGTCAGCAATTGGTTTAAGAATCGGAGGCAAAGAGACCGGGCCGCCGAGGCCAAGGAAAGGTACGCGGCGTACTTCCCGCTGCAGGGGCGACCCCGGGATGCCTTCCATTTCCCTCCGCCCCTTCCTGCCCCCGCAGGCACACGCCACCGCATCCTCCCGGCCCGCCCGAGCCGGTCCGCCGGGCGGCGCCCGGGCCTCCGCAGCACTGCAGCGAAAGTTCATGAACTCTGAGATCTCTTGCTAGGGATGGGGGGCTCGTTTGAGTTGAGCGCCCGCGCGTGGGCTCCTTGGGGCGTGAGTGTCGAGAAATACTGGTGCTAAGTTTGTTTTTCATGCCTCCCTGGATGGTTGGAGAGAGGTGTGGGGGGTGGAGAGGGGTTTTCTATATTAACTAGAAGGGAAGTGTTGATTGGTAACGCGAGGGAAGGGGTTCGGTGGAGGCTGAGGGTCGCGAACCTCTCTCCTCTTGCTCCCGGGAGGGATGGAGCTGGCCCGAGCCTTCTGTTCTGCCCCCACTGCCTCCCGGAGCTTAACTTGCGCTCTCGTGCTAGTCTTTTGGGCGAGAGGTCGCCGTTTCATTCCGCACTAGCCTTAAAAAGGGAGGAGTCACTTAAAAATCCACAAAAAGAGAGATTTGAGAGAGGTGGCGCTGCATTTCCTTCCCTAAGCCCGAAGCTCGGAAAGGATTGCTCCTCTCTGGGCTCCCTCGCGCGTGGCCGGGCGCCGCGGCCCGTCCATTGGGATGACCGTGCCGCCGACCCGGAGGAGGAAGAGGTCTCCAGTCGCAGGCTTTTCTCGCCTTGGAGCTCAGAAGGCAGTATTTTTAAAACCTGTCTCTGCCTCCACCCTCTTCGCGCCAACACCCCTCCGGCCACCTGGCCCCGCTCCATCCGCTCGCAGTTGAAGTTTCCGACTGTGATTCGGAAGAGCGTGCGAGAGGCGGCAGCAGCGCCCTCAGGGAGAGCGCTCCGGGAAGCCGGCGAGTTTGGGGGAAACCTGAGCTCCAGGCCGGCTGGGTTTCCTTTGTTTGCTTCCGAGCCTGGGGTGGCGGAAGATGTCGCCACCGCTTTCCACTCTGGGTAGAAAAGCAGGGAACTTGGGGACATTCAGCCGAAATGGGCTTTCTGGGAGAGAGAGATTAAGAGAGAAAGGGAGAGAAAGTGGAGACGGGCAGGCTCTCCGGGTGGACAGGACAGGCGAGCACTCAGGAGGCGGAAGCGCCCAGGGCTTCCCAATCCTGAAGTTTAGCACCCAGTCCTCGGACTGATGCCCCCCCACCCCTCGGCACCCCGCACCCGCTCACCGGCTGCGCGGGGTCGAGAAGTTTCCCTGGTGGGGAAGGGTGTGCTTATGTGGATGTTTGTGGGGAGTTTGAGAGAGGGGCGTGAGGAACTAAGGATTGAG